TTAGCACACTATTTCTGGACATCATCGCTCATATCATCTCCCATGACCCGGCAGGGAGATCATCTCCCTGCCGAACTTCACCTGAGGCTCACCTCTCAGGTGACGTTGCATCCCTATAGCATGGGGAAATGGGCGGTCGTCATTTTACTGACAGAACCTCACATGAAGGTCTCAGGGGAGATAATATCCCATGACCGAGCTTTACTACGGGCCAGATTTTCTGTAGAAAAAATATTGATTGTGTTACTTGCGCTACAATCCAGTTGATGCAAAAATGAGCTATTTTCTTGTTGCACACATTTTTTACATTCTTATAACTGTCGAACAATAATTTCACGTCTGTAAGGTAAATTAATTTAGCCAGTCATACTAGCCGCGATACAGTTGGCTACGACTATAATCTACAATTTTTCAAGAAGATGAGCACCATTGATGAAAGCAAGTCTTTCAAAGATTCAAAGATTTCAGGAAAGAACATAAATCAAACCGTAGAAAACGGCAACCAAACTAGCTTTAATGCTCACTACGACTGTGACCTTTATTTTTATTTTTTATTTTTATTCTAATACAGTCTAGGTATGCTGTAGAATCGTACATGTCGGAGAACGCTAATTAATCAAGCGAATACAGTCAGCCATTCCCATCTAAACGCGAAATTGGTAACCTCATTCAATCAAAGTAAAGAAAAATACAATTTTTGTATAGTAAGGACATCTCTAATGTGTTGTAGCGGTTCAAGCATTATACGTTTTGCTAGATATCCAACAGCGTGGCATCTCAAACCTTGAAGAGTGCTGAAGCATTGCTCTTTGAAAGAGGTGGTTTCGCAACATGTTTACTCAAAGATAAAGGGGTGAAGGCCTGCCTTATGATAGAACACTTATTACAAATTCAGCCGATGTCATACTAAGCGCAACATAGATAGTTACAATTTCATTGTTAGACACAATACACTCTACGAAACGTTGTAATTTATGTTTTTGTTGATCTTTGAAGACACTGACATTTTGTACACATGCTAGCGTATAATCGTATCATGAGACAACTTCTAGTTTTTTTGATTTTGGACGTAAAATTTTAAAGCTCTCAATGAAGGCCGGACGCAATTGTGAATCTATCTGTTTTTTGAATTGATGCTGCGTTCTTTGATCCTCAAATTTTTTCGCGCAGCTGTGTCTCAACGTTTAGAACGTTTTTAGTATCTGTCATCTTATTCAAAAAAAGTAATGATTACTGCATTTTGCTTTTGAAAGCTAAAAAAGTCATTCCGGTAAAAAAAATAGCCGGTTCCAAGAATCTTCAAACACTTATTCACTTATTCAAGTTAGAAGTCGAAAAATGCCGCCCTCTGATAAATGAGGTGAATGGTGTTGGCATAAACTTTCCATAATTGTTGGTACTGGCAGTCGAGCTCCAGCCTAGACAAGCAGTAGGCTCAGGTTTAACACATTCACGACATAGCCGATTCTTCGATTACTGCACACCCTGGGCATGCTGTATCGAGTAACGTGTCTTGTTCTTCTGTCAACCAAGTTTTGTGGTGGATCTTTTTTGACTCTACGTTTCGACTAATATCGTCTTCTTCGGAGGTCTGAAAAGGAGTTGCGGTGATATTATCTGCTAGTCTACACGACCAAACGCCCCATCAGACTTCCGCCGTTTGAACCTCGTCTGGGCTCAATGTGCCGAGAAAGAATCCCAAATGGATTCACCAACCTCTAACCCACCTTGATGTCACTAGTCCGCACGGATGTGACAGGCTGCTTAACACATTGACGACAATACGACCCACCGGTGGGTCGTACGAGTACGGTCATTTCGGACAATACGACCCACCGGTGGGTCGTAAGTTTTCGAAAGCTCTAACTTTGCCAGCATGCAATGGAATTCTGCGGTATTCTGGCACATGATTGGGGACACTTTGGCGAAGCTCTAGCCGGAGTGGTCCGGGTCCGGGATACTGTAATGTAATGTTACGGTAGGTATACCGTAGATAGAGGTAAGGCACAGATTTTAGCTCGAATTTCTCGCAGAGTGGTGCTGTTTTTGACAATTCAATTTTACATGCACAAGAAATACAGGGAGAGCATGAGACTGATGTCAGCCCATCAAAAATTATCGATTTTATTGATTTTATTGATTTTTCGCAATGTTCATCCCAGGAGGCTCAAACCTTGCATATATAGGTTTTTTAGCATGCTGATTACGAAAATGATAGTCTCAAGTTCTAATACCGCCTTCTTACATCAGTTTCTTGATTCTTGAAAAAATTCTACCGTACTGCTACCGTAGTCCCACTGTGGGAAAGTAGCGAACAAAGTGGACACTATAATCGTGATCAGCATGTGAAATAACTCCAAAACACAATTTTTCACGAAAATCCGTAATGTTGGCTTTGTACAGAGTGACTACCGTAATCTTACCGTATACTGCCAAAAACTAAAACAGATCATATTTTGATAATCAGCGCCTTCGATAACCCTTGTGGGGATATTCTCAGAGACATGTTTTGAATTTCTTACAAAAAGACCACCATTTCGGACAATACGACCCACGGGTGGGTCGTAAGTTTGACGCCGAAATGGCAGTAATCGCAAAATCAGCCTTGTCGTCAATGTGTTGATGAGTCAAGAATTATTTATACTGTGCGGTTTGATGTCACATATTGACATAAAAGGCAAGAGATCATTTGTTATCGTCATGCTCTCAATTTTGTTGTTCATGCTCTTCTGGCGTAGATCAAGGCGGCCTCTAACATTTTTCGTGCTCAGATCTCGATCTCCTGCTCAAAATTGTACACTTCAAGCTAAAATCGCCACCATCGTGTATCACATCTTATGTTTGCTCAACGGTGACAACACGTTTCTTCGTCTTTTCTTAGGCAGGTGTTTATTCATTCTAACCTCTAAAATTCTTCCAATTTCTCCTATATACGTTGAACGTTCTCCTATACAGTGCTCTCCTATAACACTGCTAGCAGTGTATAGGAGAACGTTGTACGTTCTCCTATACATGCAAGCATTTCAGCTAAAATGATACCTCCTTCGCGCAGTCCATTAGTTTCTCATAAAAGGCAGACGATGCAGTCTTCTAGCAAACAATCTAAGTACATTCTGTTTCTGATCAACCGCTTTTTGATGTTACTGCGATAAATGTCGACCAGTACTATCTCATTTTCCAACTGTGCTCGTGCTATGCATCTCCTAACCGCTTTAGTAAAACTACTGAAGACAAATAATACAAAAAATCAATGAAATCAATGAAATCGATAATTTTTGGTGGTCTAACATCGGTTTTTGCTCACCGCGTATTACTCGTGCATGTAAACTTGCTTTTCCAGAAGCATCATCTTGGCGAAGAATGAGCTAAAGTCTGTACTTTATACCTATCTATAATATATCTACCGTAACATTACATTACACTATCCCGAGCCCGGACCACTCTAGCTAGAGTTTCGCCCTAGGTGTCCCCCATCATGTATAACACCCCGTGAAATTCCATCTTAAACTAGCAAAGCAGCGCTTCAGGATGTCCGAAATGGCAGAACACGTAAGACCCACCGTATTTTGTGAATGTGTTGAACAAAAGGAAAGAAGATTGTTAGAAAAATGGGTGATGGCAATTTGAAAAAGCCTAGAGTAACCAGAAGTTGTTACTATCAGCATTTAAGAAATGCTAGCTCCTCTCGTTATGTTCACACCTCAAGCAAATAGATTTGATTACATCTCTAAAGAGCTTTTCAGTGAAGGAAGAGTGCCCGAAGTCGATCAATGTTGCAAAAAAAGCCGTGCTATGATCATTTCACTGTTTCTCTAATGCCGTAACATGCTCCACCTATAATGTAGCAAACGTTAGTTTAAAAGTGAAATCACTTTTGATTTCACAGACTCTGCAGTTCCTCAAACTACTAAATCCTAGAAAAATTCGCATCAAAAAACGCGCAATGATTAGTCAACAGGTGACATGCCTTGGGGGTAGCGCACAAGGGGGTCCCGCATCCATACTCCATGCTCAAGTGATTTCGAATTTTTTTTCAAGCGTTTCTGCTATATCACAAACCGTGTAACTTCGGTTGGTACCCTTCTGCTTTATCATTTTAGGTAGAGCATGATGTTATCGTTGGAGATACATGCCCATCGAAGAAGGGATGGGTTTCGCGATTAATGCTCTAGCGTTTGGACAACATGCCACCTTCTTCACTTTTTCACTCATTGACTACTATTAAATCAAGTTCTGATGCATCTCCTCGACTTTTGATCCCGATTAGATTTCTTGGTAAAAAATTCACAGTTACCCAAAATGGTTGGAAAATCACTGAAACTCAGCAAAAATTCAAATGAGGGTTTTGAATTTTGAGCAAATGATTACTAAAGTACTACCAAACTTTAGAGTAATCCTGCAATTATCCATGTTTATAATTACATATAGGTCTATTTGCCTCATTTATTTTAACCACGTGGGTATATATTAGGTTGGTCTATAATCAATACACGATTTTACTAGCTAAAACGCTATCTTGTGAAGTAAAGTAAAACCGTTTTTCCTAGCCTCTAGTAGTATCTGAAAGCTCGCTCATTTCAAATTTTCATAGATACTTCGTTTCCGGAAGCCTTTTCCAAACCGAAAGTCCATACCAGGCTCATAATCAAAAACATCGAAGTAATTGTGTTGTGTGTTATCTGCTTTTTTCTTTTGTGCATCTTTGCAATGTTTTGTAGAATCTGTACGAGGACTCCTTTTCGCTCCCATAAAAAACGCCATTAGTTCTTCCTCGTGCGGAGTTTCTGTAACGCTACAGAAGATGTTGAAAACATCCTTCCTGTCACGTTTGAAATTGCGTTTCATCTTGAAACAAGGCTTAGTCAGCGGTCTGCTATTCATTTTATGGAATTCTGCTTATGCTATGTTGATACTGTCACGTTATGGTATTTGAGAAATAGCTCAGGAACAGAAGAGAGATGTATGATATACAAGCTTGCTGAAAATCGTTACTTGCGCCTTATCGCCCATGCAAAAAACGTCAGTCTACCATCGCCTTCGCGGTCAGTTCATCAAATTATTAATCATTTCATTTGAGAATTCTGAGAACGGCTGGTGCTCTTCCTCTTTACAGCTAGAGGTGAATTTGTGAGGTGTAATGGTATATCGCATAGGTTGAGAGAACGGTTTGAGTGAACAGCGCCAACGCGCTGTTCACTCAAAATAGACGATATACGATTATGCCCGCTGGAACAGAGTCGATTTAATGAATCATGACATCCGGAATTAGCCTTCCGAAGAAGGCCTGAATGAAATGAAAGATGTTATGAGGAAGAACGTTCAAAAATTTGATACCTTTTTCCTTTGCTGCGAAAAGAACATACCGGTATCAAGACAGATCGCATATGAGCACATATGCACAAACAATGGCAATACGCTGCTACAAAAACGAAAAATGGGAGATACAGTGATAAAAACAAGACCTGCGATGTTGTGCGCAGCATGATCCCTGATCGCTGCGCCTACGGTAACGCTCCCGCGTAGATGTGTGACTGCACTACGCTTTGTTGGCCTCGCTAAACGCATTGTATATGTGGGTATGTGTGTATGTGTGATACTATGAATAGCAGACATTAGAAATTCTAATCAAATAACACAATGAGCTGAAGGACGCCAGCCAAAGTCTCACGTATCTCATTTTATGCCTCCAGCGATCACTATTCAGACAAGAAAGACAAAACACGTGTCCTGTGAGAATTACTTTTTACGTTCATGCTACTAAGCTATCAAGTGACATTTTTTTGCCAAAATTTTCTCTATGACAAAAATTTTGAGGTGTGGCATGAGATTGCGTACCTTTTTTGAGATCGTGCACACGCCATGCTTTTTGTCACTGAAAATTTTTGGTGGATAAATCATACATGACTCTATAGTGTACCTTGTAATTTTCGCAGAATTGATTTGAGCCTAATTCGCTCTAACTTGGTTGAGTAGTAATGGCTGAATAACTACCGAAACGAAGATGGAAGAACGAGAATTTGACTGGGCTCCCAACACCAAAATTCGGCGTTATTTGAAGCAGATTTTTTTTACGTGTGCTATTGAGCAACAGTGCTTCGTAGTGAGTGCAAAAAGATGTAGCTACACACCCTTGATATATAAATCCACATCTGGTAACCTTCATTTTGAGGAACATGAAAGAACACAATTTTCACCTAAAGAAATGGAATCATTCGGGGATTCGCCGCGGATGTTATAACCCTGACTATACCGGAATCAATGTGAATGAAGCTTATATAGGAATAATATCTTCAATTTACTTCAGCGAAACCAAGAATTTACCTATAGCTTTTTACGCTAAAAAGAAGGTTTATGTGGAAATCTTCCCAGAATTCAGGATAACATTTTTCTGCTGACCTCTTATTTCAGAAATTAAGTTTTAGAAATTCACGAAAGCTGCTGGAGTTCAATAAAAACGAAAAACTGCGCCTAAATCTTGCGCAAAGTGTCGCAACGAAAATGCTGGTTTATCTCGTTAATGAAAGGTTTTTAACGCTTGAGACGTTGTCAGTGCTCCTAATCGTGTCATAACGCTCAGAATGACATAAAATGCAGGGTTTCGTAAAGACCCCGTGGAAATCTACGACCAAAGCCTGTACCCTTTTTCTTCGTTGTTGTGAACCCAATTCTAGCAATTTGTACATTATATTGAAGCTCTTGATCTATGATTTCATCGTTGGTAACACCCCAAAACCACATTTTTTTATTCAAACGAAAAATTCGGCAAATCCGTCTTTCCGAAAACTCTTGTTTTTCCCCTAATTTAACTCTTCTTACACGGTTTTTTTTTCGTGCATCTACAGATCTTTCGTTCATAATGTGGACATCGACCAGCGCCTTTTTTCGATTTTGGCGGGATTTTCTGTGAAAAAATCGTAAAAAGTACGTTTTTCTTTACATTGTTCTCTTTCGGTATTTTTGCAGCGATTTTTTTAGCTTGGACAATAATTGGTTTGTCCGGTTTTCAGAAATTTTTGCTTTTGTTATCTGCTTTTCTGTTCCTATCTGTTTATTTGTTTTTTTTGTTTTGTTGCTTACACTTTTCTTCTCATTCCTATAAGCAACCTTCACGTTTATGGGGGGGGGGGGGGAGGGAGAAACATTCAAACAACCTTTACTTTTGAGGCCCTGGCTCTAGACTGTCGAAGGTATTGGTAGCTAGCTCATCTCTGAGGCAACCATGTTTGAGTATGATTATAACAGCTGGATGACTGAGTACAGAGTGAGGGAAAAGTCTGGGAGCCTAGTAATCTTCGAGATAAAATCAGAACAAGGCAACAAAAATTTTGGTGCACACATAAATCAAACCTTTGCAAATACAGTGCAGCTCTCAAATTTTGAGATTGCCTCTTCTGGCTTCAAAGCAGCCCTTCAAAATCCTGGCAAGTTTGTCTGTCGTGGCACGCAGTCAGTCGAGATGAAATTCGTTCCAGGCCTTCACGATAACTGCTTCTTTCACTAGGCGAATGTGCATATGATAGACCAGGCTTTTGGCTGCAACATATTTTACAAAGAAATATTTTGCAATAATCAAGAAGAAATTTTGAAATTTTGAGTGAACGCAGGTGTACTCGCTGGAAATTTGGAAGCGATTGCGCAAGCGGGAGGGAAAAATCAAAATCTAAAAAGTGTTGAAATCGCTCCATCGATGAAATTTACATAGATGCTGATATAGATTTATGCAGAGAGTATAGCCAAAATCTCAATGCCTGCTGCGCTCCTATAGCTTTTATTTTCTTTTATTCTTATTTCCTTTTATTAGGTTGTACCGAAAGTTCGTTCGCACCATTTTCAAAAATTCATAACTCTTTAAATTCTCAACGAATTTGTACGATCTAAACTTTGCATAAGAGAGGAACTTATGTTCTTTGCACCTATACCTAAATTGTTAAATTGTCTACAAACGAAGGAGATAGAAGCTCAAAACCAAAATCACTCAAAATTTGAATTTTTCGTGTAGGGTCATAAAAATTCGGAAACTTGCAGTAAAAATCGAAGCAGTCGGTATTGTAGGTTCTTTCACAAGCTCTTGCTAACAGTGCAAAGTTTGCGCTGATTGAGCGTCTCTATGAAAAGTTATGAGTTCCCTGGGAAATACCAAAATAAATCAAATTCGTCCTTTTGTATTGCTTGCTCGAAATCATAACTTTCCATAGAGATGCTAAATCTGTGCAAACTTTGCATGGTCAAAAAGAGCAGCTAAAATAACCTACAATATTGACAGCTCCGATTTACTGCAAGTTTGCGATATTTTATGACCCTACACGAAAAATTCAAATTTTGAGTGATTTTGGTTTTGAGCTTCTATCTACTTCGTTTGTATACATTAACGAACAGTACAGGTATAGATGCAAAGGGCATGAGTTCCTCTCTTAAGCTAAATCTTGATCGTACAAATTCGTTGAGAATCTAAAGAGTTATGAATTTTTGAAAATGGTGCGAACGAACTTTCGGTACAACCTAATATTTTGATGACAAATAACACGGCGTACAGGTAGTTACGCAAATTTTTATTTTGCGTTATCAAAGAGTATTTTCTGTTGAAATAGCTCGATGGAATTTACATAAATGCTGATATAGGCTCATGGAAAGAGTATAGCCAAAAATGCCTGCTGCGCTCCTATAGCTTTCATTTTCTTTTATTCTTATTTTCTTTTATTTTGATGACAAATAACACAGCGTGCAGGTAGTATTCGCAAATTTTTATCTTGCGTTTTCAAAAAATATTTTCTGGCAAACGCAATCACTACGATGTGATAACGTAAAGTCTTTTCTATATTGTATGCGTTCAAAGTGTTGTAGAATGTTCACAGTATTTTCAGCTACGAAATGCATTGTGAATACTAAAATTTTGATTTTTTTGCTTTGCAGAAGCACTTGCTTGATGAAACCAGTATTACAAATACATATAGCATTTTCAGCTGCGTAAAGTGTGATTTGTAAAGGACGATTGCAGCATTATGCGGCACAAATTTGGAATCGAAATCGTAGGTGGTTTCGTGATTTACAACACCACAAAATCGGCTCCCAGACTTTTGCCTCACCTTGTACATGGAAACCTTAGAATTCGCTAAAACTTGGTTGGGGTTATTTGACAAGCTAATTTTGTGTTTACGTAGGTTTACGATACTGGAAAAATTCCCAGTCTGCTTGCGTTTTGTACAAGGTTACTTGACATACAGCTAATATCGCGTTTTCATTATAACCAAGTTCACTTCAGTTACAAAATGGTCCTTCTTCTGAATTCTCATGCAATCCCACGCCTGGCGTATCACCCCTACGCTTGACCATGCTTGCCATATATTTCCATTGTCATCAATTTTCAGCAAAATTCTTCGAGTGTTGGTGTTCGAAGTAAAGTATGTGATGTATTGCCCGTGAAGAGTTTTTGTAAAAAAGTGATGTATGTAATGGTTGCTTCTTTCTCAATGAAACGATCAAAAATCATCCGCACACATCAAAATAAATCTGAAGCATTTGCAAATCCAAACGCAGCACCAGCAACTGGAATTGATCAGTCCGCCAGAAGTTTACCGAGTCATTTGAATGTGAGTTACTGGGCATTCCCAGCAATATTCAATCAACGTTCAACTTAGTTTAGCCGCATCCATCCATTTGCGATAACGAAAGCAGCTCAAATCTGAAAAGGAATGAAGGAGTAACTAAGAAAAGGCGCTCAGCTTAGGCATTTCATAAAGGCAAAGCAAACTCTCGAAATAAGCATGCAACTACATAAAAAAACACCCAAGCTTCCAGGGCAGCTGACCAAATTGCTGGCGCTGCCTTCGATTACATCAAAATGAGGTTACATTTCATCGAGCTGAAAACAGTTTGGTCAAGTTTCAAGTTTTTTCAAAACAGTCAAGTTTTGCAGCTTCTCTCATAACTTTGCTCCTTTTGAATGTGACGCATTCAACCTTTGGCAATATGTGGAGCGTAATGTTTACAACTGCGCACAAACTGGTTGAATTTTAATCACAAGCTAGAAAAATTTTAGGCATTT